TTTTTTTTGTTTTAGTATTTTGAAGTTGACCAATTGTTACTATAAGCAATTAATGATTATAGATGATCTGCACTGTACCCCTTTTTTAATATAAAAGGGTCATATCTTTACCCAATCAAAATAAAAGAACGGGTTTTTAGTGTATAAGAAATTTCATTTTATGTTGCATGCTTTATTAATTAAAATATTAAAATCTTGAATCTTTTAAAAATATTTTTGTGAGAAATTTTTAATAAATACTCTTCTTATCCTGTATTAATTCTAAACAGCCAAACTAGAAGCTAACCAATTTTCTAAAAAAGTTCTTAAATCTTTTTGATCATTGGTATTTGTGCTACTAGAAGAATTATCAAAATCGGTGTTTGCTTGAATATTAACAGCCATGTTAACAAATTTGAAAATGACTACAGTTTCATAACGATCAGGATTCAACAATTCTTGATCAAATCTTTATATAATTTTTTCAGTAAATCCAGTAAAAATCACTCATTAGTCAACAATTTACATCTATATAATAAACCAATATATATATCATACCTTGTTAAATACTGTGCTGCCAATGTTTTCCAAACTAATAATATAACTCCAGTATTTTTATCTTCTTCATGGTTGAAATTAACTGTCTCCATGCTTTCTTTCCAAATATCAATTGTTGTTCTTTCATATCCTTCCTTTGACAAATTTATTTTCAAGAAGTTTTCATGTATTGTGACTGAACAATTTGAATGAGAAAAATATGCATTTCCCGGTCCAAATGCAATTGAATTTAATGTTAAACTTATTGGGTACTCAAAAGAAACAGATGGATTATTAAAATTACGAGAATTATGTGACAATATTCCTTGTGGAAATGACTGTGGTGATTTTTTAGGACTATTTATTAAATCTGATGAAGAAGTATTTGCTAAAATTTTAAAACATGTCAACTAAAACATCTCAACTAACAAGTATAAATTTAAAATTTATATAAAATTTTATTAATCTACCTGGAGAATCAGCAAGTTCACCTCCAAGTATTGTGGAAACTGTAGAAACAGTAGAAGCTTTTAAAGAAAAGTCAACAAATAGTTATTAAATGCATGAAAAATAAAAAAAATAAAATCAATATATAATATAGACCCTCAATAATATTTTTTTTTTTATTACAAATTTACAATACAAACCTTTGAAAGTAGCTGCTTTTTTGGATGAAGATGCTGAAGTTTTTGAAAATGCACTATTGTTTTTTTGCAGACCAAAATTACTTCGAATTTTTTCACGACCTTCATCTTCATCTGTAGCTCCTTCACTTAAAGAGAATGATCTTCCAGGCTTCTTTTTAGATTTGATAGAAGAAATGTTGCTAGTGCTAGTTGCTGCTGCTGCAGTAATAGATGATGATCCAGATGTTGGAAATGAATCCTTTCTAGATTTATAATGTTGAGATGTTGTTGACTGTGAATCATTAATTTCACTTGTGTGCATGTTATTAGATGACTGTAATATTTTCCCTTGTTTCCATTTGACTCCACAAGCATTACACAATGTTCCAGCACCATCAGGACCTCTCCTCCACATTGGTGTGCTTTTACAGTAACAATATGCACAACGTTTATTCCCTCCACTTGTAGTAGAACTAGATGTTTGTAATACAGGAATATTAAATTCAGGAATTGATCTCGACTTCTTTTGTGTAGTTGAAGACTTTGCAGATGCTCTCCCCTCAGAGCTTTTTGAAGCTTTAACTCGCTTATTTTTAGGTTCAGATTGACCCACAGTCTCTCTATCTATCATATCCTTATTTGATTCCTCAGCATCCATTTCTACATCAATTTCCATAGCACGTGTTTTTTCTTTGGCTTTTTCATGTTCTATTTTGGTTTTTTTCAGTTTCACAAAAGAATCTTGAGGTGATCCATCTAGCTTGTTAACTCTTTGTCCAATTATATCTAATAAATCTTCTGGATAGTCAACTGGCAATCGATAGTTTAAGTAAGCTCTTTTGGATTGATGCTTTATTTTTTCAGTCATTGATTTGTATACTATGGATATATCATTTGTTGCTTCCTGTAATGAGTCTAACATCAATTGTGTTAATTGTGTCATTTGAATTGTAACAGCTTGACAATCTTTACTACTACCCATTTTGTCATCATTCTGAGGTAGATAAAATGATGTGATAACATCATGTGGTTCAGACATTGTAGTTGCTTCTAAAATGGCATCCTTTGGAAACAACCATTTATCATGTTTGTTTTCCTTGAATTCTAATAGTACTTCACATCTTACTATTTGCCGAGGACTTATCACAGGATAAAATGAACGTTGGTTAATGGACTGTGTTTGGTGCATTTGTGATGATGATTGTTGCTGCTGAAATTGTGGCAAATGTGCTGATTGTTGTCTTTGATGAATATGCTGATTGTTTAACATTGTTTGTGATGTTAATAATTGATAGACTATAGACAATTGATTTATTAACGCACTTCTTTGTTCAGGTGTAATATTGCTTGATGATTCAGGGTTACGTAAATGTTCTTGAATTGCCAGGATTTGGTTTGGATTAACAGAATCAATCACTGTTTGCATGAAGGGAGTAATAGGAAAGCCAGTATTCAATCTTTGAATACCAGAAGTTAAAGTGGATGATGAACCCACAAAACTATTTGTATTCAAAGATGCTTGTGATGGAATTTTTGTTGATTGTGATGATGATGTCATTATTGATGGTAGAGGTGTTGTTGATAATGAAGTTACAGTGGGTGTATTTATAGTTACTGGCTGTATTTGTCTAGAAGGTAACCGTGACAATGGAACTCGTGATTGAAGAGGTTGTATTTGTGCTTGAGATTGGGTAGATGAAGAGCTTTGAGATATACGAGGTTGTATAGAAGGTTGTACCTGTTGTGATGATGATTGTGTATTTGGTTGAGACATGTATTGTGTTGTTTGCCTCTGTGTCAGAGTATTTGATGTTGATTGTGACAAATTTTGTGTAGTAGATTTTAAAGAAGAATAAGATGATGGAGATGATGATGTTGTTGTTGAAGATAATTGTGCATTGGTATTAGGAGTAGGTTGTGGCTGTGGCAAAATGTGAGCTTGTTTTGGTAAATTTTGTGAAGTTGGCTTGTGCAAACTTTGTGTTGTAGGTTGATTGGCATGTTGAACTGGTAACTGTATTGTATGTTGATTCTTAGCTTGTGGAACTGTTTGCATTATAGGATGTGAGATAGCATGAGATACAGAGTTTGGTAAGATTTGTGGTCCAGTTTGTGGAGATGTTAATTGAGTTGTCACATTGCTTTGTATTTCTATATTTTCTTTTTCATATATGGCCTTGTAAAATTTTGTGTCATAAAAAGTATGCGGACCTATTGTTAAAGTAAATTTCCCAAGAAGTGTAACAACTGCATTAGAATTAGTATTTTCAGGTAAATCTGGCTTAAAAAAAATTTCATTCTTTGACGAAAATTTTTTAAGAATAGAGCTTGTCCAAGCTTGTCTAGACTGTGTCAATGATAATAGAAGAATGCCACTATAAACATAATAAAATTTTTAAATAAAATTTATAGATCTATGAACTTTTTTTTTTTTTGAAGGTAAAAAACATTATGAAATTATTTACCTATCTCTATAACTTAACATAGATGACATTTCTTCCCCTGTTTGAGGTCGATTTGATTTTGGGAATGTCAAAGCTTCAGCTCGTTTCTTATATGACATTTTAACGCTATGAAACAACAACAGAATTGTTTCTAAAATTTATATTTATAATGATCTTTAAACCAATCAAAAGTAGACTTATGTAGTACAGTCTTTTCTTCCAAAGCAAACTCATTCTCACTAATGGTGTTATATTTAGATTGTATCAATTAGTGTCTTTTGCTGAAATTTTCCTTCAACCCTGAGTGGTTTCAAAATTTAGAGTCTTGATATTTAATAAATATATGTATGCTTCAAGCTAGATGAAAATTTGACTGCCAATCTTGGCCAAGATCAACAGCTATTTCAAGAATTAATTGCTAGGCAGGAAGAAATAACAGATACCATACCAGTATTTGCCTCAAATGGGGCATAAATATAAAGGCAGAAAAATGATTCATGTATTATGGGCATTGCTTGTGATGCAAAAAAATTGTGAAAAGTTTTGGAGCAAGTACCTCCATCTTCAGAACTTCCAAGGAAAGTTTTAGCTCATCTCAAGCAAAGATTTGAAGGCATTCCATTAGTGCTGATACTAATAGTATAATCAAGTTCTCCATTGTATGTATATAAATTAATAATTTTGTCAACATTATCTTTTGGGCTCAGGATCAGGATGATGTTTTTGAATAGGGTGAGCAACCTTTTTATACATCTATACAGATAATTTTATGAGCCACAAAGTGATGAGACCAAAATTTTCTCTGCATCACAAAACATTTTGCAATACTCCTTTTGACATTTGTTGTCTTTGGTTGCTGGATGATTATTCCTTCAAAGCTAGATCAGGTTTAGAATCTGAATCAGATGAAGACAATTTGGACATTTCAGACTCAGGTTCACTTGAAATGATATAAGGGAAATTGTAATAATCCTCTTTATTATCACCTAAAATTGGAATACACACATTATTTATTGCTATGCAAGTTGATTTTTACTTCATGGTCCATCAACCGTAATTGTCCCAAAATCAATTCATGCTTGAGTGATTTAACAATCTCAAAGGGAGCAGTATCAGTATCTGGTAAGCTATGGTATTTTCCTTTGTATCTAAATTGTATTTATCTCACCTATGGCATCTTTATAATATTTTTAATGCAGTTTAGATACAGACACTACTCCATAGTCCTCTTTAAGCTTATTGAACAATTCTTTGCTAATAACATTAAAGGGAGATGCTGTATCTATGACCCCTGCAACTGTGATGCATCCTTTAGTCAATGTTTTCATGAAACCATGATAAGTATATTATAATGATGTATCAATATTTTAGCCAAAAATAAATTATACAAAATTTTTACTGAATTCATTGATTATCATTATTCCAGACTATGCTGGATCAGAAGAGTCATTAATCAAATGAGGAGCCCATATTGATATATCATATTCAAGATCCCACCAATCTGTTGATTCTACTAAGCTTAAGATTAAGTCATGGGGCAGTTTAAAGGTGCCAGAATTTATGAAAGCATGAAGCAACAATTCTGGTTCTTTAAACAGCATTTCCATAAGAATTTGCATCTTCTATTTCAATGGTCTTTTCTTTACTTAAATACTGATAAATACTTAAAGATTCATTATGTAATGTCTTGTTTATTTTGCATAAGATAAATGATTGGTCCACCCAAACCCCTCACTTGTATGTTTGTCCATAAACAACCATCAACTAAAAATTACAATGATGATTCAACATTGTTTATATAACCTGTTCAACAACTCATATATTTCATCAAATACAAGCTTAAGCAGAAGCAAGAACAGAAAGAAAAGATATTGTTGTTAAATAGCATATCAAAATAAACATGATGAAAATCATTTATTGGTTTTTTTTGCTTATAGATATTGAATAAATATTTTTTTGAAATGTGAAAAATCTAAACAAAATTGTAAAATAAATAAATAATAAATAGCACAAAAGAACATATATATATCAAAAGAGTTTATTATTTGCTCTTTGAAGAGCTGCTTGTTGAATTCGTGCAAGTTCCTTTTCTTGTCTTTTACGTTCTTTTTCTCTTTTCTTGTCAGTTATCACCATGCTGCGGTTACTTTCTTTCATCTCTTTAAATCTCTACAAAAAAATTTTTTTCAACCCCCAGAAAAAATTTAAAATTATTAATTATTATATCATCATCTTGTTACTACTACTATTATTATTACTATAATTATTACCTTTCGATGGTTATGATCATATGAACTTAAATGATTTTCATATTCAGATATTTTAGCATATTGTTTGTCACATAATGCACAATAAAATGCTGCTTTAACTGTTTCTAATTCTTTTTTTATGGATTCTTTCTTTAGAACTTTACTCTAATTAATCAATTAAAAATAAATGATAATGTGTATATATATTATATATTATACATAAACATATAAATTTATTTAATTTTACTTGTCGTTCAAGCCTTTCCTCATCAGTTTCTTCTGCTATTTTTTCACTAACTAATGCTTTACGTTTCAAGGTACTAGTAAAATGATAATAATTTTCCTCCTCTAATTTCCCAACTCCTAAACTATCAGATTTAATATCTATTCGAATTGGTTCTCTTCTACCTATTTAATTAATAGATTAAAGGTTGGGAAAAAAACCAAAATTAATAAAGAGATGTCTTTCATATTATATATAAAAGGTGATGATGAGTGACCTTGTTCAAAACTTCCTAAACCTTGACCAGCCTTCCAACCCATCTTTGTCAACAATCTATAACCAATATTATTTTCTGGAAGATGTATATCCATACTTGCCATATCAGTATTTGACATATCAAGATATGCTTGTGGTGTGTGATTACGAGGAAGAACAAATACTTGTTCATCAAGTAGTTCATTATCACTAATTATTTCTTCACAATGCCCTACTTCACCTTGCTTAATTTTTTAATAAATTATGCGTGCGGAAAGGGATCATTTTGGATAAAATAAGAAGAAAAATAGAGAGGCTAATGGTAATATAAATGATACTTTATAAACAAAAATTCTATTTTGCTCTTCATAATTAAGGATTAATATTTAAGTACTAACCTCTGTCTCTACATCCATATCATCCATAACTTTTTTTTATGAAAGATAAATTATTTATTACACGATATAAAAGTAATTATGCGTTAAATATGCACAAATTTTTAAATTATTATGGGGTTTAGCAAAAGGTACTGGGGTTGGTCACAATGGTTGATCATCAAACATAGTTCAGGTCAATATAGAAAATTACTATGTGCGGATTTTTTAATGTTACACATATATATATCATCAAAACATTATAGTAAATAATCAAAGATTTATTTAAACTTTAAAACGTAAAGGCTTGATAACCAAGCAAGCTGTTGGAATAATACTTCCGTGATTGTATTTTCAGATGCTCAATTAAGGGCCTGTCAGAGAGTTTTTTTCATTTATATTAGTAAAAAAATTTTTGTGAAGGTTCAAAGTTATCAATTTTGTTGATTTTACTATTAACAATGGAAATTTAGTTAAACTTTAAAACGTAAAGGCTCAATAATCAAACTAGCTGTGAGAATAACCCTTCCGCGATTTTGTTTAAAAACACCCAATTAATGACTGGTCAGAGAGTTTTTTTCATTTATATTAGTAAAAAAAATTTTTGTGAAGGTTCAAAGTTATCAATTTTGTTGATTTTACTATTAATGATGGAACTTTAGATAAACTTTAAAACATAAAGGCTCAAAAACTAAACAATTGTGGGAATAATCCTTCCGCAGTTTTGTTTAAAAACACTCAATTAATGACTGGTCAAAGAGTTTTTTTCATTTATATTAGTAAAAAAATTTTTTGTGAAGGTTCAAAGTTATCAAGTTTATTGATTTTACTATTACTATAAACAATGGAAATTTAGATAAACTTTAAAACCTAAAGGCTCAATAACCAAACAAGTTGTGTAAATAATATTTCGAAATTCTATTTTCAAACACTCAATTAATAGCCTAACAGAGAGTTTTTTTCATTTATATTAGTAAAAAAAAATTTTTATAAAAGTTTAAAGTTGTCAATTTTATTGGTTTTTACTATGGTTGGCTCGGTCTAAAGTCCTCCTATTGCTGCGCCACGCGCTCAAATTTCAAAAATTGCAATTTCGTGATTCGTTCAAAAATGCAATAAATTTTTTTAAAAAAGGGTTACATGTGATTTTGGTCAAAAAACTATTTTCCTTACTGCCAAATTTAGATATGATGGTCGTTTATTAGGCTAAATTTAGGAATGATGATCAAATACTAGTCTAAATTTAGCAATGATCCTAGTGCTCAAATTTCTCATGAGCATAGTAAAGTACATGTTTTAAAAAAGAAAAGAACTCTACAATAAATAATTTTTTGGAGAAAATCTCTTCATTACATTAAAAGTAGAAACCTATTTTACCAACTAAT